AAGTTTCCCCTCTAGGAGTTCTAAGAGGTCAAATCAGCCATTACACACAAGCCACTATGTTCCTTACAAATCGTCTGTTTTTCAGAGGTCATTGTGCTTGACCTTTTGAAAGCACACAGATTTGTTATCAAGAGACAAACAGGTAATAGGCTAATAATTTTGCTCAGTTTATGTGCTGAGGAGGATAGAATGTGAATAACTGCAATCTAATGAAAAAATTAATAAAATGACTGTTTAAATTTGCAGATCTGCTTACAATAAAAGTAGCAAGAGGCAAAAGAAGCTGCTGTGATTTAAATGGAGTGAGAGAAAGAGACCTTCCTCCACATCAAGAGTAATTTTCAGAGGGGAAAATGGAGGAAAAGCACAGCTGCACAACTGGTACTTAAAAGTACTGTAGAAGCCCCCTTTTTCTTTAGAAGCTGTAGAAGCTATTTCTTCACAAAAAGTGCTTGCCACACTTAGGGACTGTGGTTAAATCTAGGGAAGAGTGATCACAGGGATCAAAACTGACCTTTACTGATGGTGGGAAATTAGGGAGTGAAAACTCTGAAAAGCAAAAAATAACAGGCCTATTCACCTTTCATGGGTTTAAACTTTAAAACAGGGCTTTTAAAATAGGGTCTGAGGACCGAGGGGCCACAGAGGAGTGCTAGGAGGTCAGCAGAAAATTTGAGAAAAGACAAAGGTTTTTTACATTAAGTGTTTTTAAAGCAGTCAAATTTAACAATATTAAGTTTAATTATTTATTGTGCAAAGTGCTTCAGGAAAAATTTAAATTGTAAAAGTTTCTGTTTAGGTTTATACACTCTAAAAACTGATATAAAACATATACTGTCAACACAAAAAATTCAAAGGTTGAGAAAACTTAAAAGTTGAAGGCAACCAGCTTCAGGACGTTTTTGAGTTTTCTCAACTTGTTGTATTCAGTTTATACAACAAAAAGTTGAGAAAACTCAAAATCCTCCTGAAGCTGGTTGCCTTAAACTTTTAAGTTTTCTCAACTTTTGATTTTTTTACAGTGAAGTTAATATATATTTTGAAAACAATATTTAATAATTTGCTTTGGCCTTAGCAATGTCACGAATCCGGTCCATGAACTTCCGTCGGCTAACCATCAGAGGTCACCCTTCCCATTTTCATTGACTCTCGCACTCACACTGTTGCATATCATCCCGGACTACATATCCCATCATTCATTGCACTGATTGCACACAGCTGGTTCACTAATTGCACAACACTGATTGCACCCAGCTGTTTCATATCACTCCCTCAATATTTAACACTCACTCTGATCCCTTCCCTCTGCCGAGTATTGTTTAGCGCCTATCTCTTGATAGCTACTCTACAGAGCCCTTGTTAGCAGCCTAGCCTAGCCTAGTCTTACCTGTTTTCTCGGTTCCTGATCTTTGCCTGGTTTCCTGGATTTCTCCCTTTAGTCTTGTCCCTTCTGATTCTGTTTGCCGTTCATCGACCTACGCTAGCCCTAGGACTATTCTTGTGTCTTGCCCGCCATATACCTGTTTGACCCTGCCTGTGTTTCTGACCTCTCTGCTCAATAAAGCTTTGCATATGGATCTACACATCTCGTCAGCCCCCTAACAAGCAAAGTGTAAATGTTTTTTTTTTTTGCATGAAAATACATAGGAAGGGGGTCTCTTGTAAAAGCAGATGAACATTTGAGGTCCCTGGCAACAAAAAAGTTGTATATAGATAAATTTTTGTTCTGAGGTATTTATTTAATTACTTATACAACAATAAATGTCCTAGTCTGGACTCAAACCTAGGTCCAAATCAGCACTACAGCCAGACATAACACACTTCTCAGCCAATATCAAACCAAGCCATAATTTTATTCCCAAAACATTCATTACCCATGGCATTCATGTGACCATGAAATAAGCTCTTAAAACATCCAGACCAGCGTGGATTTAGCAAATCGCAACCTTTGGCTGAAATCAATGAAAAAATGAGTTATGCTGAGAGTTAAGTGCAGGTTATTGGGAAGATGGACGGGTGCCACAACCACATTAAAAACACACAATACTCCATTATGCTGCTGTGCCACCCTCTTTGCTAAACGAGGATGAAAATGAGAGCATGAAGAAGAATATAAATAAACTAGGTGAACACTTAACTTCCTGTTGACAGACAGCATCAAGTCATATATAAATTATGCCACTAAGGTTATATGTGCAGTGTTTAGCCGTCAATATCTCGTCAGTGCATGAAAAAGACACGTGGCTCTCAGGGAGCCATTCCTCACCACCCCATGTCATCTCAGCTGCTGTGAGGAATCTCAATCCGGTAGGACTCGCTCCACATTACAGGAAGTGACAGTCACACTGTAGTCTACTCACAACAGCAAGGTCATCCTTAGAACAGCACAGACAAGCTAAGATTGAAAAGCCCAGTAAATCCCTGCTCTTAAATCTTATGGCAGCACACTGTCTACAACATTCCCGCCCTTCAGGCGAGCAAGAACCCACAAAAGACACAATTTTATAGAAGATATATTTCACACACTGTGCTTACATTATCAGCAGACGCCTAATTAAAGAAATTGGCCATGAGTGGCAGAGCAAGCTGGGTCCAGAGAGGAGCAGGTCCATTACTCTGTATAATTAATTACTGGTATAAAGCAGACTTATGATCATATTTCTCTCAGGATATGGGCAATATTCTAAACACAATGTTTTTGGCAAAGAGTTGTTAAAGAGTTAGCGTGACCTTTTTAAAGCTTTTTGACTAATGAGTGTTTCAGACAGGAACCTTTTCTTGCCCGCACACCCTTACATGGTAGTTTTTTTAAGCATTCTCAAGCTTCAGTGTCACATGATCCTTCAGAAATCATTCAAAACATTTATTTTTTTATCAGTGTTGAAATGAAACATCACTGTTTCTGAAGGTAGGCCTGTCACAATAATCAATATATCGACTTATCGCGCAATAAATGTACATGACCTCAATCATTTTTGGTGACGCAATATATCGCCCATTATATTTACTTAAAAATTAATGTCACCATGTTTTTTGCATTCCACTTGTGCCTGTGTCTTTTGCAGCTTCTCGTATGTCGTGTAGTTGGTGCTAGCTCAAATTTAAAAAGTGCTTCTACAAAAAAAAGTTTCATCTGCAGATATGGCCTTGTTTAGGGATCTGTGGCTTTGTGCATACAGACATCTGACGGCTAAGCAGTGATTGTGTTTTTCAGCAATAGTGTGCACCCTTAATTTACAGAAAAAAAGAAGGTCAGGGAAAAATCTGTAGATGGAAGAATCTCCATACAATTTCTTTGTGAATTTTTCTTTTTTCTACTTGTTACTTTGCAATAGAAAAATGTTTATTTACTATTTATTCAGGTTTATTAAGGTATCTAATATTTTGATAGGTTAATTTCCATGATCTAAATATTCTTAAGAATTAAAAGTTTGTTGTCATTTGGAAGTGTGTTGCCTTCTTGCATTATTATGCTTTTATATTATGATTATATATTCAGTGGCATAAAATGGTCTTTAAAATGACAATAATATCACTTATCGCAATTATTTCTGGGGCAATATATTGCACAACAAAAAGTTGTTATCGTGACAGGCCTATCTGAAGGATCATGTGACACTTAAGCGTAAGATACTTATTTACAGAAAAAAAGAAGGTCAGGGAAAAATCTGTAGATGGAAGAATCTCCATACAATTTCTTTGTGAATTTTTCTTTTTTCTACTTGTTACTTTGCAATAGAAAAATGTTTATTTACTATTTATTCAGGTTTATTAAGGTATCTAATATTTTGATAGGTTAATTTCCATGATCTAAATATTCTTAAGAATTAAAAGTTTGTTGTCATTTGGAAGTGTGTTGCCTTCTTGCATTATTATGCTTTTATATTATGATTATATATTCAGTGGCATAAAATGGTCTTTAAAATGACAATAATATCACTTATCGCAATTATTTCTGGGGCAATATATTGCACAACAAAAAGTTGTTATCGTGACAGGCCTATCTGAAGGATCATGTGACACTTAAGCGTAAGATACTTATTTTTAAAAACGTTATACATGTCTCAACTGTCACTTTCATCACTTTAAAACTTTGAACGGTAGTAGCCATATAGCCTACATACATACACATCTTCCTTCATTAAAAAAGTTCAGTAATAGAATCAGAGGTGAAGGATTCCTTTGATTGATTCAAACAGTTCAAAATTAGAACTGTTCAAAAGAATCAGCTCAAAAGAGTCATTTGTTTCGTGAATCGCATCAGAATCAAAACAACCCGCGATGGATTCTTGCGGGACTAGTGTATATATATATATATATATTGTATTACATCTCATTCAGTACAGACGAACGATCTGATTTAATTTTGCCTTTGATAATGAAATAATGTTAATATATACATGTAAGCAAATGGAGAGGAATTCATTTTGAACAATTCCATTAGCATTCATGCTTTTAGTAACGATTAAGTGGTAGTGTGGAATAGCCTTGAATGGATTATCATACTTTTCTCCTAAAAGAATACTCAAACTTTTATCATTATCATTATATATTATGCCACATCTCCTGTCAATTTAAAATGAATGGTTACAGTAAATTCTGTTTACTGTAACAACTTAACAATGATAGGCCTATATGATCATTGGCCTTAAAACATTATTGGTCAACTTCAGAGTTTTTCAAGGTCACAAAGCATTTTTTGTGAGTCTCTGTGAGCTCTTTAAACCTTCTAAAAGGGTTTAATCTGGCTATAAAAGTGCATGAGATTTGTGGCCTGAAAAGCACTGTTAATGACGGTTCAGGTAATGGTCAGTCTCTCAGAGGAATTATAAAAATCATCACGCTGCATTGAACACTGAACCAATCTTCACATCCTTAATGCAAAGTAGAAGGTGAAAAGAGGGTCAGACACATCCTTTTGCATTATTTAAGGTTTAAAAGTGTAAACTTCACAACATTACATTATTCTTATTATATTATCCATAACGTATCCTTTCAGTATTTGTAATGGCTTTCTTAATGGGGACTCTACATGCCCATTCATAACTCACCATTCTATTTTCCTGCTTGAATAAATACATTTTAGTGCTTTTACAGTGATGTCATACCAATAAAAATGCAGAATCAATTACATTTTGGAACCCCCAACATAATGTCTCTCTTTCTCTCTCTCTCTCTATATATATATATGAACAAATGAGGGGCACTGGGGGGGCAGAAGTTGGAACAAGGGCGCAATCTGATCAATTCTATCCTATTTATACCCTACATGAAAAGGTTTAATTTTCATAAGTAGCCTCCCCTGGAAATGGCCCTTGTACACAGGAGTTATAAATCTCTACAATGCACAAAGGCATTTTATAAGACACACAAGGGATTTCTGAGGACACATAGCCTACATCAAACCGATAGACAAAAAACGAGACAGATACAGTGAAATTACAATTTGTAATGTATTATTAAAAGCAATAACGGACAGAACAGTTATAAAAGACAAGTGTAGATATTTAAAAATTGTAATAACTTTTTCTGAAACCACATTTCCCTCAGGACATACAGTATGCACCTCCAATTACGCCCTATGCTGACCAACATCAGGCTTTCTTTCTTTAAAAATAGTACCAAACCGGCTTTTAAAAGCACGAATTATATACTTGGAATTTAAGGAATTTAGTTAACTGGAAACTCTCCAAAAAGATTTGTAAATAGAGAAGATTTTCGAGTTTAAAAAAAAACTTTTTTAATAAGATGAAATATTTGCTCCATATTGAAATATTTACTTTAAAGTTCTATACGAAATTTGATGGAGTAGTAAAAAAGTTTTTTTTTTTCAATATTACGCATAGTACAATCATGAAATATGAATTTCTGATCATTTGGTAAGTAAATCTTTCAGATTTCACAGTTTGTAAAGTATTTAGAAGATTTCGAACATATATGTGACAGCATGTTTTAAACCATGTATTTTATTATATGATCTTCTTAGTCCTTGATGCCAAGCTCTGCGGCAGCAATTTCAGTGATGTTTCTACCCTTCATGTGTTCAGGTGTTTGACAAGTGATTGTATCATCATGAACAATTCTTTTTTTATTCATACGCAGCCAATGCCATAGATATGCCAAACTAGAGTTGCAGTGCCATGGATTACCAGACAGCACAGCATACAAACGTCCATCCAATGTACCTGGAGTCAGGTTTTGCAGATAGTTGTTCCTGAGGTCAAGGAAAACAAGTTCGTCCTGCTTGAGGAAAATTCCAGCAGGCAGGCTCTCCAAACGGTTGCCGCTCAAGAACATCTGGCGAAGGTTTGGATTACCAATGAATGCTGATGCGGCTAAAGACTTCAGTCTGTTGTTTTCCAGGTACAGAGCCTCAAGTTTAGGCAGAGAGGTCAGAGCTCCAGGAGTCAGTTCTTCCAGCTGATTATTTCGGAAGTCTAAGCTCTCGAGATTGTTGAGTCTTTGCAGGAAGGCCACGGGCAGCTGGGTAAATTTGTTAGATGACAAATCTAACCTCTGGAGAGAGTTGTTTACAGGCAGACAGTCAGCATCTATCTCAGAGAGCAGGTTATCTGAGAGTGTGAGCTCCACAAGAGGAGAATGATGAAACACTTGCGATGATAAAGCTGTCAGTTTGTTACCTATTAGGATAGGATCATATTATTAGCCGATACGCATAAACACACATGAACAAGTGTGCTTGTTCTGATTCTGCAGTATTTTGAAGAAATCATTTGAGAGATTTGTCCAATGAATCAATCCGATAATCGTTCCTGACCGATTCAATTGGCTGTGAGAGAACGATTTAAAGGGATAGTTCACATAAAAATAAAAATTCTTCATTATTTATTCACCCTCAAGTTGTTCCAAACCCGTTTTTTATGTTCCCCATTGATTCCCATAGTATTTTTTCCATATGGAAATGGATTATAACATAATGGCAGAGTTTTTATTTTTGGATGACCTATCCTTTTAAAGACCCACTCACCTATTTCATTCAGGGTTGTCAGCGTTTTTTAATGGGCCAGCTGGGGAAATGATTCAGTGATAATTGTTCCTGAATGATTCTGCGTTTTTTAACAAATCGGTTGAGAAATTGATTTAATGACTCATTTACTTGTTTAGTTCCAGTCAGTGTTTTTGAACTTAAAGGTTGAAGAAATTGTTCAATGGCTCAGTTAATTGTTTCATTCTAATTAAGTCAGCATCTTTTAATTAATCACTATTGTAAATTTAGTGATTCAGTGACTCACCATAAAGACTGAATTCAAAATATCATACAGCCAACACTACTCTTATTATGTCAGAAATAGTAGTATGCTAGTATGCTTTTACAAATTCAGCCATATAAAATAGTTTTGCTCATGAATCAGTGAATCAGAATGAGTCAGTGAATGATTGGATAACTCACTCAAAAGACTCACTTGTTTAGCTCCTGATTGAACAAATCCATGATACTCATAAAACCAGCATTTTGTCACCGCATACTGCGGTACAAAGTAACCTTTAGAAAGAGTCCCTACTATTAACGAAAAGTTCCCACTAATGCACAGCCAGACTGGCAGTCTCTATGGGATGCACAGACACAGACAAATTGATTAAATTTGAGGAACACACACACACTCATTACCTGTAAGGTCAAGCACATGAAGATTTGACAGGCCCAAAAGCAGGTCCGCAGGTAATGTACGCAGCTGGTTTCTGATCAGACTGAGCTGCCTCAGATGGGACAAGATCTTCAGGTCATCAGATGTTATGGAGCTTAAATTGCTGAAGCGGACACTGAGGTCTGTAGTGTTACCTGGGAAGTCCTTGCTGGGTAACTGTTTGAAGTTAACAGACGCACAAATGACTTGGACCTCATCGGATCTGAAGACAAGTCTGCATTTTCCTGGGTGCGAAACACTCTGCTTATAAGCTAAGCAGCTGTGTAGCACTGCAAGTATTAGAAAATAATAGTTGTACATATTTATGACAAGACACAACAGAAATAAGATTATACAGAGGATCTTAATAGAGACCTCAATGCCTCAGTCTTGAACTGATTCTGCTTTTATAACCTGAATCACATATTACATTGGTCAACATGCAATCAAGGATTTTCCAGGTCAACATTTGGTTTAAACGCTTGTGCAACATTGGACTTTTATTAATCAATTTTTGTGAATCATTTACTACAAAGGAAAATCATGCTTTTTTAACTCTTTGTAAACGACACTGGCAACAAATCTTAAGTAAAATTATATTTTAACTTTTTTTTCTCCCCATGTTAATTTTTACATGTATATCAATGTATATCATGTAATATTTCAACATTTAAGTTACCCACCTCTTTAAAGGCTTTATCTTCTTATAAACAAGTAATAATGATTATACTAACTGAATACATTAATGCGACCTTTCTCCAAGACAAAATTATTTTGTTTCCTGTATAAACGCCCCAGATAAGTTTTGGATCATCACACATAAGAAGTTCATCAAATAAAGCTTTTTTATTAACAATTTCACAATGTTTCAATGGTTTGTCAGTGGTAACATGGCAAAATGATAAAACACAGAAAATGCTTGGACCGGAGGTCTTCATGTTCCACTATGCATTCAGATTGTGTCTAATTTTTGTCACAGCAATTAATACAAATGTTAAAATGTCCTACGGATTGCATCATTGCATAATGTAATACCAGTCTTTAATAATGCATATATTTTGAGCAGATAGTTCTGGCAAACAACTAAGTAATGCTCTTTGAAAAGCAGTTTTCAAAAAGTGTTCTTTCATATAATGCATGATAAAAATATAATCTGTCACTAAATATTTATCTGTTTTTCCTAACAAAAAATAGATATAATATTTGAGTATATAAATTCAGATGATCATGTAATTGCAGAGTCAAAGTAGGCCTATATATTCTGTTTCAAACTCACACTCAGGCAAACAGTCACACTTATTGACAACCTTGCAAGGAGACCAAAAAGTTAAAAATTCTTTAAACAGCATTTTTTTTAAAGAATTGTATAGTCTACAAAGACATAAAACACTCTTATAATGGCTTAAAATTGAAACTGCACCCTTTTGGGGATTTATGGCTTGTTCTGTTTTAAATATTAGACCGCCCCTTCCCCAGCCATTTATACTTGTGGAGTTTGGCACTTGGAAGTCCTGCCATTTGCTCCGCTTTCATAGTTCCCAGATGGATTATCACCTATCCAACCTTCACCAAAGTTAGCTGAAATTAAAAGAGAGGAGAGAAGTTTCAGGTCAATGAAAAATAATATATATATATATATGGCAGACATTTCACATCCCATTCTCTATTCAACCACACACAACAGCTTTACCACCACACCATCAGTTTTCAGATCTGCCTCATTCAATCAAACTAAGCCAGACTTTTTTAATTCAGCCAAACACTTACACACAAACATGCCCACTCATATTAGAGCATCAAACACAATATCTATATCAAAACCTGACCTAGCTATAGTTCCTCACATTGGGAAAAAAAACTGCACTATTAATGCCATACTTCAAAAACAACTTTAAAGCCAAAGCATAAACACACAGACACAAAAACATGCTAAGGCACCACTGTGGTTACCCCACAAACTCAACTCCTCAGAAGTCTAATACATCGTCATCATCCATTTCAACATCAAGAGACCAACCCCAGTCCTTCAGGCCCAACTCAAGCAATCTGGAACAAAGAGGAGTCATTCGGCCTCATGTAAAAATATCAACGGAAAAAATTATGGCCACCCATGTTTAACTTAAGGTATACAGAACAATGCAGTTTTTGAAAAATAGTATTTTCTTTAAGTTCTACAAAGGTGTGAGAGTGACAGATGCTGCTCTTTATTTATACTTAATTGTAATTTAGAATAAGATCTTACGATTGCATTTTTTTGGGCAGATATTTGCCCCGGACCCTCATGATATTGTTTTTTTCTTCTTGGAATGTCTGATATTTAATCAGATACTGTGTTTAAAAAGTTAGAATTAGCTCAGTTAGAATTAGATGCCAATATTATGGAATTAAAAGAGAGATTGCATTGTTAGTTGATGTTTTTTTTTTAGCATTTACATTCAAGCAAAGAAGATTTATTCCGTTTTAGATGCATACAGAGAACAGAACAGACAGCCAAATATCTGAAGGTGGTGTTTTAGGGCAGCACAGACAAGCAGAAAACCTGAGCGGTAAGCAGTCATGCAGTGTACTTACTGTCCACATATAAGCACAAGTGGGGAAGGTGAAAGGTCAATGAAGTATGATACGGAGCATGGGGCCAGGGCTATAAAAGGTTAGCAGTATAATGTAAGCTACTGAGTGAGAACCTGTGCAACTTCACAGCCAAATCTAACTTCTTGTGCCAGGTTAACATATGACAGCACTATAATCAAGAGCATCTACATTTACCTTGACTGAAGCTGCAGTTCACCCAAAAAACATTTGATGCTGACATTATATATTCACTTTCATTTTGTTCCAAACCCGAATGTAATTTTTTCCCCATGGGAAAAAAAATAGAGAATTTTTAAGAATTTACGCTGCTTTTCTTCCAAAGTGACCACAACTGCCAAGCTCCAAAAATTGACAAAAGCAGCATCAAATTACAGTAAGTAGTCTATACAAGTTTATTTTGGGGCGATTTTTTCTTTGAATTGAGCAAATTATTGTATTTAAAGCCACTTGCCAATAAGGTTCTATACAAATATAAGGAGCAACAACATTAGCAATGCTCCAATACTCATTCTCAATAGTTAAGCAGAAGCTTAGTACAGAAGTGCAAGTAGGAAACAGTAAAGCAGATTTTAATGACTATACAAAGTGACTGTATAAATGGATATGAATTACACATTCAAATGTTCATGGAAAACTGTGTCAAAGAATGATAAAATATCAGCCTCCTTAACACAAAATTGTGGGCTAAAAACTAATGGCATGAGTTTGGCCCCTACATAATATAATATTAACGGAACAATAATATATTATTAACAGAAACTGGTAGTGTCAATATAGGTAAATTAATTCATCACAAATAATTTTGCGAATCCAGAAGTTTCAAGAACTGTATGTTCTTCTATACAGTTATATCTATATAGTTCTTCTATACTATATATATTTTTAAGATAATTAAAATTAACATTAATATCAATTATCATTAAAATTAAATATATACACATTTTATATAATTCGATAATAATTCCCCTTGTAGTGGGCCTCACCTCCTGGTTGAGAACCACTGCTTTATAAATCCCCGTTTTTTAACCTTAAATGACGTGTGTAACATTATTCTCCCTCAAGCTCCTTTGTAAGTAGCTGTTGATCTGTGAAGCGGTTCTCACCTGGTCTTGGGTGAGGGCTGCTGTCGGGTGGAATGCACCTTGACGGCTCCTCTGTGTGAAAGTCTGGGAGATGAACGGGCTGACAGGTGAGGAGAGGGCTGAGGGGACAGGCCAGTTGGTGATGCCTCGGATGGAGGAGAAGCTATAGCTATGCTTGAGGAATGGGCTATAGTTTTACGTGGGACCCTCTTGAGTAAGCGTCTGACCCATTTCTGCTGCTCTTCTGTGGAGTTGGCCAGCAGCAGTAGCTCTTTCGCCGTGGACATGTCATAGTTCACTGGAGAAAAACAATGAACCATACAGGTCAGTTTCAATCCAAAGTACAATGTGGAGGTTCAAAAGTGAGTCCATATTTAAAATAAATAACCATTTTGAGTCAGTATGGATGCATTAAATTCATAAAAAGTAGCGGTAAAGACATTTATAATGTTACTAATGATAAAAAGAATATGTAAAGTAAAATATAATATAAATAAAGTATCATGGTTTCCACAAAAATATTAAGCAGCGCAATTGTTTTCAGCACTCATAAAAAGAAATGACACTGAAGACTGGAGTAATGGCAGCTAAAAATTCAGCTTTGTTATTACAGATATAAAATACATTTTACAACATATTAAAATAGAAACTTTTTAAAATTGTAATGATATCTCACAATATTACTATATATTTTTAATAAAATACACGCTGCCGTGGTAAAAATCTTATTGACCACAAACCTTTAAACGGTAGTGTAAATAAATAAATAAAATGTAATAATAATAATAATAAAATTTATAGTAATTATTTTTTACAAAAAATTATATTGTTATAATTTATATATCTGAATATTACTTATGTTGCAATTTTTATGAATATATGGTTGTAATATATTAATAATTAATTATTTATAAATAATCAAATGAATTTATGACATCTTCTATATTTTAATTCATATTTTGTCTTAATACCAAAAATGCTAAATTCTAATGTGTATAACAAGCTACAGACGGTAATATAAATCTGAATGTGCAGTGCTTTGTGAGTGGGACCTCCTGACCTCTGCAAGGAGCTAGGACCTCCTCTTTGCGATCTATGTGGTCTTTATGGCATTTGATTCGGCAGCGTCTGCACTCCAAGGCTGGTGGGGGCTTGAAGACGTGCCACAGAGGCCTTGGACATGCTTCACAGCTAGAGGGGAAGTGGTAAAGCGTGAGTACGAACTCGTGACCTTTGTGTGGGATAAACGACGACCTTTCAGCTGCTGATAAGGCTTCCACAGCAAGCTCCTCTTTCTTGCTCTCTCCCTCATTAGCATATAATATCTACAGACAGAACAGAAGAAAAAATGAGGTTTGGTATGGTTAATCTCAAAGAATGATAAAACATTTCCTAGAGGGACAAATTAAGCATGTTACCTGGAAGATGCGTGGGATTTCTCTTGGATCTGCGCGGTACACGTCTGTCTGAGTGACAGGTCTCACATGGAAGAGTTTGCTAAGAGGGGAAAAAGAAGGCATAAAAATAAATGGGCTGGCTAATGTTGTGCAAGAGAGCAGTAAATGTTTAAGATTTATGTATTTGAACTGCATATAAAATTTCCATCCATTTGGATTACTCAGTTTTAACTAATAAACGTAATGTGGTGCATATCCCTCAATCACATATAAACATACAATCATATACATATGTGCATATTTGTCCACTCATATACATAAATGAAACAGGTAAAATTTCTATTATAGTGCTAATGAACCAAATGTTTTTTTAAAAACACAATAACCAGGTTTATATATTTATCAATAAATCTATCCAATTTGTTTCAATCTCATACATTTTAACTGAGTATTGTTTGTTACACGCCTAACCATATTTTAACCATGTTTTTAAATTTGAATTATTGAATAATAATTGAATTAATTGAATACATTTGATCGTTTTAACAATGAACAGATTTAGCTGATTTTAACTGTCTTAAGTAGCACAGTTACATTTGTAGCAAAATATATTGTATGTAGGATATTAAGTAAAGATCAAGTTCCATGAAGATATTTTGTAAATTTCCTACCATAAATACATCAAAACCTAATTTTTGATTAGTAATATGCATTGCTAAGAACTTCATTTGGACAACTTTAAAGGTGATTTTCTCAATATTTAGATTTTTTTGCACCCTCAGATTCCAGATTTTCAAAAAGTTGTATCTCGACCAAATATTGTCCTATCCTCGCAAACCATACAATGGAAAGCTTATTTATTTATTCAGCTTTCAGATGATGTATAAATCTCAATTTATAAAAATTGACACTTATGACTGGTTTTATGGTCCAGTGTCACATATATGATTATTTAAATAAAATCAAATGGATGCAAATAGCTAATAAAAATGTATGTATAACTGACAAATATGTATCACTTTAAGTTTATTAGTTTATGTTAAAACTCTTTAAAACAAATTGATGGAAATTTTACATACAATTCAAATACATAAATCTTAAATTTAGGCCTAAATATTTTTTAAACTCACTCTATGTCCAGAATCATGAAGGGACTGGATTGCTCTCTGTCTTGCTCAGAGTCATAAAACAGGATCTTCTTGCTGCTTACCACCACATACTGCAATTTATACACAGATGATCAGAGAGGGTTTGTTGTTGCGACATGTGAGTGTGTAGGTTTAAACCTTTACCTTCTTTTCCCATCCAAACCGTTTGGTATTTTTGGTAGGCATTGAGAGCCATCCTTCAAGACTAGAATCTGTGGTAAAAGAAAAACAGAAGAGTATTTTACACATTTTATTTAAGATTACAGAGCCACATAGGTTTTGTCAAACTGAAAATGACCAGGCAGACTAATTTTTCTTCAAGAACTTGGAGACATCTAAAAAACACCTTTCCTAGGTGCAGAATGCAAAACTGTGTTAATGGAGTTTTAGAAAAAACACAAGGTGATCAGTGTGATTATGTGAAAAATTATGTCAAATCTAATGAGCATCACACCATGATCACTGACCTAATGAGTTGCCTACCTAGACAGCATTTTTGGATTTCATAGGCTCATTTATGCCCCAAAATGCTGTCTAGGTGTTTCGTTTTTGAACTCTACACTGAAGGAAGGTAAAGGGGAGCAAGGGGCAGTATGCATACTGATTTGTTTCCATGCAGGGTCACCTGCACACTCTTGGTCAGTAGGCTTCTCATATGTGAGGGTGGGCCTTTGCCCCCACTCGACTTCCTCATCCTCCTCTTCCTCTGAGTCGGAGGGGAACCGAGGAACGATCCGGCATGGCCGGGTATCAATACACACTGACTTGGAGCTTCGTTGGTATGTGAAGGACATAGACTCCGAGGTGTGTGAGTGTTTGATGCGCACTACAGCGGTGAGAGTGAGAAGGAGTGAAAGAAGAATGAAGGAAAAGAAGCAAAAGATGCATAAATTTAGTATGCCATTTTGACCAGGAGAAGAAAGGAACATTAAAAAGAGGGGAAGAAGTCAACCAAAAAGATAGATAGATAGTGAAATGGAGAACAGGTCAAAGAGAAAAACAGTGGCATGTATTGATTATGTGTTCTAGAGTCAGTGGATAGATAGATAGATAGATAGATAGATAGATAGATAGATAGATAGATAGATAGATAGATAGATAGATAGATAGATAGATAGATAGATAGATAGATAGATATGCCAGGTGTTTTCAAGTTTAAGAAAGTATAGTGAGTGCTTCTATGAAAACAGTTTTTGAGTTGTTATATACTATGCTTATATATTTCTATTGAATGGTTTGTGGTTGCACAACATATTTTATTGCCCAAAATGAATTGAATAGTGGTCATCAATTATGGCATGAATTACCACATTAGGCGGTCCTGTGCTTGACGGGTCATAACCTGGATAGTTACCTGGATAAGCGTCATCACCCTCCAGGTCGTTGCCGGTGCTGCTGATGCTGCTGGTGTCCAGAGAATGGATGCTCAGAGAAGTGATCTGACAGCGCAGACGCTCAATATCACTGTCTTTACTGTCCAGGGACATCTGCATCTCCAGTCGCACCTGAGACTCCTCTGCTAACGTCTGTAAACAGAACAACAGATTTATATATTTATGCAGAATAGTGACTAGGTTTCCTGGTGGTTACATTTCCTTTAAATGTATGTATTTAATGTCACTTACAGCCTGCATTTCATTGATTTCTTTCTGGTATTTGATGATGGTGTGGTCGAGTTTATCTTTCTCAGTGCGGAGCTGCAACTGGAGCTGTCTATTCACCTTCTCCTTTCTGCGGACATCAGCGTTGTTGCCTTGCGGTGTTCTGACATCATTCTTCTTCATAACTTCAGCCAGCTTGTTTACAGCCTACAATACAAACATCTGATATAATTTACCTGAGACATGCTAATAACACCTATTTTAAGCTATGAGAACAACGGTGTAACATATACATGTATACAGCATTTTTATCCAGTCTTGATTAAAATAAGCCTGTCTTTCCTGAATCTTGAGGGTTCGCTCAGACTGTATTTGCTTCTCGAAGGATAGGATCAAAGATTTCGTCTGTTTTTCTTCTTCTCTGGTCTTCTCCAGCTCTGTATATACACATTTATAAATGTTAAAGCCCATATATAAACATTATAACATCAAATTCATTCATATTATTATAATATTAACTGGCATTCAGCAGCCTACTCACTATGCTGTAGGTGTTTGAGCTGATTGTTGAGCTCTTCTTTCTCATTAGCCAGGTTGCCAACATCCAAAGTCAGTGTGCGGTTCGATTCCTCCAGCTTGCATTAGGTAAAATATAAAAAAATGTACATAATTAATATTAATTAATGTTTATGTTGTGTGTACAGACAAATTATTACTTTTATTTCTGTTATTTTATTATATATTTATTTATGAATTAAATACATTCTTATAATCGCTTTTATGCTCACCGAGCTGATGGTATTGTCCTTTTCGCTGAGTTCCTGCCGGTGTCTGGCGATCACGTCTTTGATCTTCAGCTCCTTCATGATCTTTTCTTTCTCCAGGTCTGAGTATTGCTCCTCAGCGATGGTGCGTGCCAACTCTTCAGCATCTGCTTTTGTCAGGCTTGCCTCTAGCTGTGTTGCTAATGAGTCCCTACAGAAACACACATGAACCAGTTTGTATATGAACAGGAATTTGGTGTTAGGATAGGACAATATTTGGCCGAGATACAACTATTTGAAAATCTGGAATCTGAGGGTGCAAAAAAAATCTAAATATTGAGAAAATCGCCTTTAAAGCGGTCCGAATGAAGTTCTTAGCAATGCATATTACTATTCAAAAATTAAGTTTTAATATATTTACGGTAGGAAATTTACAAAGTATCTTCATGGAACATGATCTTTAATTAATATGCTAATGATTTTTGGCATAAAATAAAACCCATACAATGTATTTTTGGCTATTGCTACAAATATACCAGTGCTACTTATGACTGGTTTTGTGGTCCAGGGTCAGATGTTACTCTTTCTCCTTGCAGGGAAAAAGCTGTGGCTATATTGATCAACTATGTTGTTCATCCTCTGTACCACTAGAAGGCGCTCTGCCTATAGCATATAGATGGCTTCAAAGCCAAAAGCCAAGAAACTCACATTTTCATTTTTCACTTTTATTTAAAATTTGAAGCTACATTCTGGAGACTACTGACATTTTGTAACGTTTGGCCCTCTAGTGGTTGAAGCAGTTGAAACTACAAGTTACTTGTTAAGAAACACTGTTTTGGTCATTACATTCTGCACAGATGTATCTATCTGATGGATCATGATTACAGGTGATAGTGTCAAACGAAAATAGTTACGTAGAGCAGTTTATAAAAAAAAAAGTCCAGTCATTTTCATATGTCTTGCCATCCTGTTTCAAAAACAAATACTTGTGTGGAAATACACACCTCTCTTCCTGCAGGTCCTCTATTCTCTGCTGAGCATCTTTGTAGAGTTTAGCCGTTTCATCACTGTCCTCCTTCAGCTCTCGAATCTGAGTCTTATACAATTTCTGAAATCAAGGAAAAATGTTTCAATTCAAAACAAATATGAGAGCACAGATACACAAACCAATCAAAATACAGCCCTCCACACATTCACTGACAAAATATGTTAAAGCCTATCAGACATACTGTGAAGTACTGCTCTGACTCCAACTGGTCCTTCAGCTCTTTCAGCTGTTTGTCAGCTTCTTCTCTCTCCCTGAGTGGACAAAGAGAGCTTTTAATTGCACGCACAACAGGGCCGTGCACAGACCTTTTGAGGGGCATGTGCTGAAACTGAAAAACGGCACCCCCCCTCAGGACTAATAGACTTGGCCTGGAAAAAGGACATGGTATGATAGCTTGGCATTATACAGTGCAAAGGATATCTGGCCTTCTAGATGTAAAGTAGGCTATAACAATGGGCCTCCTGGGTAGTTGTCATTATTATTTGTAGGGTCCTGTGTTTGTGAATTGCTCTTGTGTACTCACTCTTTTTTTAATTGTATTATATATACAGTATATATGTATATATATATACATACACACATATACATACATACATACAGGTGGTGTTCTGAAATGAGGAGGCAAAATCCTTTTTTTTTTTATCAAATGTAAATTCCTGTCTCAGTCACATGTTCCTGGTTAAATAAACATTACTTACACTACCAGAAAACAACAACAACAAATACAATTCTATTTTATATTTTTACATTAACAATGGTATCAATATTCTGTTTATTAAAGCCAAGTATGAAAAAGCCTGTTCATACTAAGAGTGATAACTATAACGATAACCAAGTTTTATTAATCATTCTAATTCTATGAGAATAGGGACGTTCACACCACAACTATAAAGACAATGACACAGAAGAACAATATCATTGTAATATATATCTCATCCATCATGAAACCTAACTCACCTGCGTAGTTCCTGATTTTGTTTTTCCAGGCTGAGTTTGAGCTCCAGCAGATGGTTGAGTTCTTGTTTGAGCTGTTTCTCCGAGGAGCGCAGAGAGCTGACCTCCTGCCTCTGTACATTGAGATCTGCCTGAAACAGAGTCTTCTTCTGAGTCTCCTGCTGCACACGCACACTCAGCACCTCCACCTGTCACACACACACACACACACACACACACACAAAAGACTGGATTTAATATCTTGGACTCTCCACACACCATGTCATGCATATATGTAAGTTTAAAATTCCTTTAATTTTAAGTTTAAAATGAAGCTTCATCCAGAAATATGTGCCACAGATAGTGTTGAAGTGCGAAAAATATGTGCAAGTGTTGAAAATATGTACAAAAAACACAACACATTACAAAAATATGCCAGGCAAGAAGAACAGTCAGATAGGTGTACCTCCTCAGTGAGTTTTTCTTTGAGCGAGCGGAGCTCCTGAAGCTCGTGTTTGGCTTGCTTGTAGTCACAGTCTAATACTGAGTTTTCCTTCTCCAGCTGCATCAGTCTGTTTTCCAACTGTTGCTTCGCAGATCGTTCTTCCAGCAGCTTATGTTCCATATCTGTCACACAAACACACACAACATCACCAAACGGCAAACGAGTCACAGGCTTGTACTTCAGACTTTGGAAAGACTTACTCAGCTAGAACAAAAAAAAAATGGAATAATTATTTTGGAATGAGGAAAACATTTTTTTCATTCAGGGGTAATGCGCGTACACTTCTAAAAGAATCATGTAAATCTTGACAGGCAAGTTTCTGGTGTCAAAGTAAAGATTAAACAAGTTTTTTGTTTATTCAAATTCCTTTCGAGTAATAGTTTTATATTTATTACAGGATAGTTTTAAGAGAGGGAATTGAGCACTTTCCCCAGATTAAACGAATGGGTAACTAAGGTAACCATGATTTTTTTCTCTCTCACTCTAAACTGAGCTCCCCTTTTTATTTTATTTTTATTTGTAGTGAAATTTGTACATGTTTTAAGAGTTTTTAAATCAGAGGCAACTGTAATTTTACCTTTCAGGGCCTCAGACTTGGCCTCCTCAATGGATTGGTTGATTTTGTTGTTGTCAGCCAATCTGGCTTTAGTGGCTTTATGCTCTGCCTCCTCCTGCTCTAGACTCTGCTGAATGGCTTTGAGTTTAAAAGAAAGATCAATCTCCTGCTTGCTCTTCTCCTGTGGGTGAAGGGGACAACATTAACAGGGGGTTCAAAATAATACACATAACTACACACACATCATATGCTGAGAATGTGAATCATTTAGTATCTCACTAAAACACATACGCATACGCGTACATACACACACACACACACACACACACACACACACCTTTTCCAGGGCAGTAAGATCCTCCTGTAACTGTCTTTTCTCTGCTTCAGCCTTTGATAGAGAACTCTTTACGTGCTTTAACTCGTCTTCCAGTCCAGAGACACGGCCTGAAAATGTAAGAAACATAGAAATAAAAATTTAATTGAAAGAAAGACAGGCTGACAAAAACACAAGAATGAAGTTGAAACCAAAGGTCAGGAATTCAGTTTAATATGAATGTTAAACCTCAAACTATAAAAACCATAAATGGGTGTTTCTTCTATAGGCACATTTGGCCCTGTGGACCTTTAGAATATAAATACTCATAAAACACTTCAAACTCTTCCTAGTTTTTTTTTTACTTTGTCTCTTCCTAACATTTTTTAAACTAATAGTTTTTATTTCAAATTTTTTTTTTATTGTTATTATTTTGTGGTGGAAATTATATTTTATTGTTATTGTTAAACAAATTTAATATTAATACAATATGTTTAATATATTATTAATATGTGACTTAAAATAAAATGACAAATGTTTTCTTTGTTTTCTTCATATCTACCACATATTTCATCTCAATCCTGAAATAATTTTTTATAAAACTTGTGGCAAAACCATTTGTCATGGTGGAAAAGAATGAGGGACAGTTGTAATTTGAGAAAAATTTTGAATAATAAAAAACTGATATAAATTATTTTCACAAAATAAATATTTTGTTTATTTCACTATTTGTTTAGCTTGGAATTTTCATATTTTAAAATTGAAGTCTTGGTCTGGGGTACAAATCAATAAAAAATAATCTGAAAAGTAGCAAAAATAAATGAAGGCATAGTAAGTTTTAAAGTAGTTAAAATCTGTTAATTTAAATGAAATAATAACAATAATCTCTCAGGAGATAAAAGCACACACAGAAACAAACAAAATTGAATAGACCAAACTGAGAATACGACACAGAAGAGATATTTCTTGTTTGTCTGTTTTTCTCTGTCCAGCGACATAACGTCAGCTACCTGCCTCTGACCTTAAAATAATGCTCTATTCATGTTTACATTCGCTGCGGGCAGCTCCACCCCAACACAACAACACTGCCCAGCAGACAAGAGCCCAGTGTGTCCTTCAGCGAGGAGCTGACCACTACACACTCAAACATAAATATTTGCTTTCACTCACTCACACAGACCTGCACACAAGTGTGATCCCTAGAATGTAAGGCCTCCTTCTAAGAAGCTTGGTAGATGCTAATTCACAGCTACATCTGTCTGATGAACAGAAACAGGCATAGACACACATGCAATGCACTCACCTTGTAGGTCATTGACAGTCTCTGAGCCGAGGCTTCTCTCTCGCTTCTCCACCTCCAGTGAGGTTTGCAGGCTCAGTCTCTCCTGTTCCAGACCCAGCCGGCTGCTCTCCAGCTGGGCCAGACGCTCCTGAAGCTCCCTGAGAGAGACTTCCAGCTGCTGGGACTGTCTCAATGCCTCGCCCTGGGCTTTCTTCAGCCGCTCGGACTCCTCCACCTCAGCCTGGTGCTTAGCATTCAGCTCCTCCAACTAAAGACACATTCATTCAGTATCAGAATCTCTTTTGTACTTTTATTATATCCTTAAAACCAAAACAAATTTACGCAACTGTCCAAAAGTTTGGGGTTAGGAAGATTTTTTGTCATGTTTTAGAAATAAGTCTCTTATGCTCTTCAAGGCTGCATTTATTTCCAGGATTCTTTGATGAAAAAAAAGTTTAAAAGAACAGCATTTATTTGAAATTTAATAGAAATGTGGGTTATTATAAATTTATTTACTGTCACTTTTGACAGTACTGTCAATTTAATCTTTATTGAATAAAATTATTGATTCCTTTAAAAAAATAATTACTGACCCCAAACTTGTAATCGGTAGCTTAAGCTAAAATGATTTTTGGGCTTCAGAAATGTATTTGAATATAAGCAGACTTGAATTCAACAGCATTTTGTTCCATTGTTGTCTTCACTTATTTTAATAACAAACCTCAAATATTTTAATAATTTTATATTTATTTAAAAAAATTCTAATACTTTTTTACTTATAAAAAGCTTTTCTTGTAAATATTTCTTTTTTCATTTGACTGTGATAGGAGAAAGTATTTTAACATTGGAAAATTAACTACTTTAGCATTAAGCACAAACCTCAGTAAGTTTAATGTTTCATTTTTATAGCCATTTTTTGCTGCTTTTAATTTGTAAATGTCCTCAAATCTGATAAAAATGTTTATCAGTTTATCATCTGGCTATTTGTTATATAGTTCTTGTTCTGAGGTTAATGGTTTGATAAAGTTTTGCTCAGGGACCCACCTGTCTTTCCAGGTGAATATTCTTCTCTGCGGAGATATGAGAGTTCTGGGTCTTCTTCTTCAGTTCGGCTAGCTGCTCTTTCAGGCTGCTCACTGCAAGAGAGAGAAATGCAAAATATGTTAACATCACAACATCAGCAGAGCAGAACTAATACTTTCTAGATGGGAGAACGTCAGAGACTAGTACTGAGCAAACCAGGGAGAAATTTTGGGCTAGTGTTTTGGTGAATCAAGAATGTCAGCAAAATATTATGTATTAAAGGAACGAATTTCAGAATATTTTGAACAACCAAAAGCTGCACATAAGCTGCATCTAAAGCAGCATATATTTCAAGAAAAGCTCATGCCATTCGACGAATGTTGAGTAATACTGAAGGTTAAGATGAGGTAATCCCCCAGGTATAAAGCATAAATAATCATAATTATTTTGTAGATTGATCCAATATGGATGTATTAGTGAATTGTTTCCCCGCTCCTTGTAAATACACAATGTAGTCACTGTTTTTAATTTAATGTCATTGTTCAGGGTCTATCAAGTGTGTTTGTAATATTCTCACCCTCATTCTCAAGCAGACGCTTTCTGTCTGTTTCTAGGCCAGCCTTTCGTATGCTCGCAGAACGCTGGTGCGTCAGTAAAGCTTTCTCTTTCTCCAGTTCCCTCAGAGAGTCTTCCACCGCCTGTCTCGCATTCACCTGCAACAAGAGAGAAACAGTTAGAGAAGCTCGAAGAAAGCAGCACTTTGTTTCTGAACGGTTTGAATTTAAATTTAAATTGAATTTAAAACAGTGTCTTACTTCTTCTTCAAGCTCTTTGGACAACTTCTCTAGCCGCTGATTTGCTGTTCTGTTGAGACACAATACAGATTCAATTTGTTGTAAGTGAAGATATACAGTGTTTTGAATTTGCCATATGTATGAATTTGACTTAACAGAATTACAGTGGGGTCCAAAATCTGAGGTCACAAAAATGTAATTTAAAGAAAAAATAAACAGAAGAAACATTGTGCCATGAAATTGAAATATTGATATTTCTGACTTTCTATTGAACTTTCCATTTACAGTATGTTGGAAACATCCTTTTTTAAAAGTCGTATTAAATAAAATAGACAAAAATGCACACACAAAAAAAAATCTATTTTCTAATTTGGATCCCACTGTATGTTTATGAGTATTTGTACCTGCATTTATTTTCCAGTTCCTCCTTTGCTAGCATCTCATGTTTGACTTTTTCTTCCAACTTTTTCAGCCTCTTTTGCAGGTCACTGGACTGGGAACATGCACAAAACACATGTGAAAAGTCAACAAAAAAAATGATGCCAGTTGTTTTTCCATTCTATTAAAAGCAGCAATTATCTAAAGAATGTGGAGAAACACTCCAATTCTGCTGCAGAGCAAGTCATATAAGCATCTATTTTAGAAATCTAAGTGCTAATTTTGTGCAACCTGCTATTAGAGAGCAATAATCCACACACTTTTTGCCTTATGTACGCTCACAGCTCTATCAGTAAGGCTCAAATACCCCTTTATCAACATACAACCAGAAATATGTTCCTTTTAACTCATAGTTTTTATAATTTAACAATCATTAATATGATAAAAGTCAGTAATAATATTTATAAAAATATATGCACCTCTGCCTGGTTTAAAATATGATCCTCATTGACACTATCAGCATTAGAGTCCTCTTCTGAACACTTATGGTTTTGGTTTAACAGTCTGAAAGAGAGATAGAAAGAGCATTATGGAAAAAGTTCCACTCTTCTCAGCAAGCTTCGTCCTTGTTTACTCTGCAGCAACACACTTTGAGTTTTCATAAATCAATTCAAGATGAAAAAGACAGTTTGGAGAATAAGTTAGAAAGAGAGAGGGAACAAGGAGGAGAGAGGAAATGAAAGAAAGAAAATATCAAAGCAACTATTCAATCTCCAGCCAATCTCAGCCAGCGGCCCATGTGGCTTCACTCAGCCACACTGGAGAAACTGAGAAAGCGAGGGAGGAAACAGTGAAAGGATAAGGGAAAAAGGAGGGAATTGTGATGGAACAAATACAGCACTCATTCATGGTTACCAAAATCATGCAAACATACTGTACATCCTGTCTCTATTAATCCATAACAGAAGCTTGCTGTCGTTTTACAGTATGTAAACACTACAGTGTAGTGTTCGTCTGTGAGTCAGCGTGCATGGAAGAGAACAAGATACCTGTGTAAAAGTCAAACAGCGCTACAGAGTCTGAAATATGGACTTTTAACTCTTACTGTCTCTGATTTCACCATTTTCATTATTTATCTCTTTTCACTGTAGATTGAAAATGGAAAACATCGTTTTACAGTAATAGAAACAATACAAATTTAAAAAAAAAAATTATAATATCCAGACTGGCATAAACAACAACAAAAAACTCAAGTGAATATATTATTTTCTAGTAATGCTCAGTTCAAAAATATTTCATATAGAAATGAAATGGTTTTGAGTGATTTGAGTTACACGCCTGTAAAAGTCATGGAAATTCATTGGTCAAAATGTGGGAACCCTGTTGACTCTTTGAATCCTTTTTCCACACACGTCAATTATATTACATTGCCATATTATGCAACAAACCAATTATGTAAGATGAAATTAAAAATATTTGTAATAAAATATAACAATACTTTACATTATAATACAACATTTCACTAGCCACTCTTCCATTGTCAGAATCCATCTTGTCACAAACACACACAAAACACACATTTTCAAACTTACTGGTCCTCCCTGAAATACGTGAAGCCCACAAATGGTAGCTGATTTCCTGTGAAGGCACGGGGAGGGGCAAAGGTCTCGGTTCCTAACGGATCATCCTTTATATCATCATCAAAGTTACTGGTGTCAATATCACTACTCAGCTTCGGCACCACTGGAGCCATGGCTGAGAGACAGAGAGAGGCAGAGAGAGAGAGAGCGAGAGAGGAGGGGGTTGAGAGAATATTGTAAAAGATTTGAGCAAAAATAGTGTGTCCTGTTTGAGTGCTTGTGTGTGTGAGAGAGAGGCTCACAGTGAAAGGCTCAGTGTGTGTAGCACACAAAGCAGACACTGTACTGAAGGGAGGAGTGGCATGTATGACTTGCCAAGCTGGCCAGTGCTTACTCACTACCTACTGTGCTCACACACACTCACGCTCACTTACACATCCAAAACACTCCCTGCCTCTGGAGCGAACGTGCTGAGCACGCTGGGAGAACATGTGTCAAACATCTAATGGAGATGGGCTGCATTCAAACTCTCCACAGCCAAACGAAAACAGACAGAGATGTTGGATCTTTGTGCTTTAAGTTCAGCCTTTGAATTAAATGAGGATTTAATACATACTTTATTAATTCCAGAGACAAACATAAAAAGATATTTTGAAAAACAAAATTGGATACAATTTTTAGGTTGCTATATAGGTTGCATTCATTTGTTTTCCTTTATGAATTGTTATATTTATCCATTTGGCACACCTACACACTCAAATTGAGCAAATTCATATCTTTTATCCTTTAATATCTTAATAGCTTGATTTTTAATGTCTAGTTTTCCTCATTGTTAGAGTCAATTGTCTGTTTTTAAGGGGATGGTTGACCCTTTCTGACCCTGAATAGACAGCAACAGAACTACCACGTTTAAGGCCCAGAAAGGTAGTAAGGACATTATTAAAATAGTCCATGTGACATCAGTGGTTCAACTATAATGGTATGAAGCTACAAGATGCTCGACTGACATGGAAGAGGATAAATTGTAGAATAAAGTCATTATTTTAGTTTTCTTTGTGCACAGAAAGTATTCTCACATGGACTATTTTACCGATGTCCTTACTACCTTTCTGTCCCAGTTGCGTTGCTGTCTATGAAGGAGCTCTTGGATTTCATAAAAAATATCTTAATGTGTGTTCCTAGAATGAAATCTTACAGGTTTGGAACGACAAGAGAGTGAGTAATTAATGACAGAATTTTCATTTTTGATTGTTCTAGAAACACAGTTCTAAATCTATTAATTCAGGTAATTCAAAATAAATAAATAAATAACTGCAGTAATGTAACTGATGGCATTGATCTATAAATTTCTCAATGAGGAAATGCATTACTGCAATTTTATTGTAGTATAGAGCTGTCTTTCTCTGCACAATAGAAACATCCATATTTTTTTTCAAAATACTGTAAAACCAATTCAGACATAAGTCAGTTTAGACAATAAACATCTATTAAGCGTATCAAAAATGAACCAAAAAATGTATGTCAGCATTGACGCAAGAACAACTGTCTTGAAGAGAAAATCTAATTAGTTTCTTTCCAACAACAAAATCTGTTGTATTTTATTCTGAATTGCAAGAAAATGAAAGAAAATAATATGTTGCCATATGGCAACACCACACCATACAGATATACAGATGCAGTTGTTTCCCAGAATGCTCCTTGATAGCACCACTAATAACAGACTACTGTGGAGGCAGAGAGAAAGCAAATACAGAATGTGCATTTGGGCATCACTGGAGCGAGGGATAGAGAGAGGAACAGAAAACGAGTCCAACTCTGTGGTTTTGAAGCTCTTCTCTCATTAGTAACTGTGTACGGGCCAAATGCTGGGTTCCACCCTTACTGAAACCAACCCCATACCCCCATAACCCTGTCCCGAACACCACAACCCCGACAGAAGCACATCACAGCACAACACAGCAGAGAACAATGTTACAGAACAAAACAAAACGAACAAAAATAAAGTATTAATGGCATAAAACAGCAAAAACTGTAACATCAATCTTTGCTGTTTTATCACAGCACATAATTAAAGGGATAATTCCCCCAAAAATGAAAATTCAGTCATTAATTACTCACCCTCTTGTTGTTCCAAACCCGTAAGACCTTTGTTCATCTTCGGAACACAGATTAAGATATTTTTGATGACATCCGAGAGCTCTCTGACCCTTCAAAGACAGCAACACAACTGAAATGTTCCCAGACCCAGAAACGTAGCAAGGAGATCGATAAAATAATCCATGTGACATCAGGGGTTCAACCGTAATTTTACGAAGCTACGAGAATACTTTTTGAGCGCAAAGAAAGCAAAAATAACGACTTTATTCAACGATTCTTCTCCTCCTCATCCCATCTACTATGGCGCACCACCATTGTGGAGAGTATCATGACGCATGCACTTGCTTCCGCTTCATGTAAACAACGCATGCACATGATAACGTAAGAATCAGAATTGAGGAATTGAGAAGAAATGTTGAATAAAGTCATTATTTTTGTTTTCTTTGCGCACAAAAAGTATTCTCGTAGCTTCATAAAATTACAGTTGAACCCCTAATGTCACATGGACTATTTTACTGACGTCCTTGCAACGTTTCTGGGCCTTTGAACATTTCAGTTGTGTTGCTGTCTTTGGAGGGTCAGAAAGCTCTCGAATTTCATCAAAAATATTTTAATTTGTGTTCCGAAGATGCATGAAGGTCTTACAGGTTTGGAACCACATGAGGGGGAGTAATTAATGACCGAATTTTAATTTTTGGATGACCTATCCCTTTAAGCTTCATGGAGAAATATACATAAATTAAGCTAAGATAAATGTTAAGGTTAACAAGCCTAACACATCTAAACAAGTTAATTGTTTTAGTTACTGTAAACCACAAAACAAAAGTTTCAGCACAAAGTGAATTCAAGATTATGTATGCATGACTGAAATAGCATTCTCTGAAGCATAGCATGAAGGTGTGAAGTGAATGTTTGCATTTGTCTGGAGAAAAATATGAGCAGCAATTTCATTCAAATTAAAAGCTGTACGTCAAAACTCCATTATCATAATCTGAGCAGATATGAACGACTCAAGACATGAACCGATGCAAGACTTGAGTATATACATCTACTGTATACCGTTATCATTCTGCACATGCATAATGTCATAGTAAGTTAGTAATAGTGACTTAATAGTGATAATTACTTAATTGGCTATAATGATCATGACATTCACAAGTCATGATCACAGATCAGCCACACTCACACTCAGAGGCTTACTGTCTCGTATGGTGTCGAAGGTCCACTGATCGTTCTTGAAGAAGGGGTGACATTTTATTTCATCCACTCTTGTCCGGCCAAGCCTCACCTCCCTGAACATAGCAAAACACTGGTCAGCAAACCAAACAGAGAACCACAACCACGCTCACTAATCCGTTAAGTGACGTTTGTGTGTGTGAGCCTGGAACTTCCAACAGCAAGTGGCTGATGGGAAACTGCAGAGCATAGATGAGTTGAGGAGCGAAAGCGACACACACAGCAACATCCAAAAATAAGGAACGGTTGTTCCCCTCCCATTCCTTGCATCTGGATCAGAGGGGTGCAGCAGTTTGGACTGCCACGTGTGGGACATTCCTGTAGCTAGAATGCAAAGGGAGGGGTGTGTGTGTGTTGTGCTTTTACACAACATAAAAAACATAAACCCCTCTCTGGATATTTGATCAGGAATGCTCATATGTGTGTGCATGTGAGAGGGAGGAGAAAAAGGGAGGAAAAAGAGAGTTGAAAACAGATTGAAGTTGAAAGGCTGAAAGAGTGACCTGGCATTAAAAAGAAATGCAGTAGAAGCATTGGAACATGAAGTTGAAGTTTTACCAGTGACTGATTTTTGGCTATTAAAAGCATAAAATGAATAGATGTGGACATGTACATCATTTTAAAACAGACAAGACTTGAGATGATTTCATTTTATGTACACTACCATTTCAAAACCTGGGGTCGATAAGATTTTGTATTGTTTGTTAAAGCAGCCTCTTATGCTCTTTAAGACTGCATTTACTGTATCAATAATACAGTAATAGTGATCAAAACTTACTTTTTTCAAAACTGTTTTCTATTTGAATATATTTTATTTCTGTGTTGGCAAAGCTGACATTTCAGCAGCTGTTACTCCAGTCTTGACACATGAGCCTTCAGGAATTATTTCTAATATGCTGATTTCATATTATTATCAATAGTGAAAACGGTTGCGCTGCCTAATATTCTTGTGGAAACTGATACATTTTTCCCTCAGGATTCTTTAGAAAACTAAAAGTTAAAAATAAAACATTGTTTTAACATTATTATACATTTCTTTGTCACTTAATATTGACACTATAAATATTGTCACCTTTGATCAATATAAGGTATCTTTGCTGACCCCTACAGTTTTGAACAATGGTGCATATTTCATATGATAATAAAAATAATCAAAACCAATACAAACAAAATAATATTAAAGTATAACTATTTCAGTATAGCTATTTCTTATTCTACTTATGATTAAGTCATTACTGTTAATTTTGCAATAAAGTTAAGCATCATTTAAACTTGAATGGAAAGTTTTTATTTTATTTATCATTATTGCTTTTGACGTCACATCTCAGAGCAGTAAAAGTCTAATGTTTAAAAGAGGTTACTCGATCCAAACTCTGCATTTCTCTCTCTCACCTGTCAGACAGAAAGGCACAGATGAGGTCTTTGGCCTCCTTTGACATTTCGATATCATCTGGGAAAGTTAAGCTGTTTTTATGATCCATGATCTTTCCGTAGGTGCCCACCAGGGACTCTGCATAAAACGGTGTGTCACCTGTCCACATTGACAGAAGAGTTAAGATTGTAAGAACAGTGAGATGAGATTAGGATATTGGAGGATACAGATGAAAGTGCTACTCACCCACTAGCAGCTCATAAATGAAAACTCCAACAGACCACCAGTCACACTCCCGGCCATAGTAACCCGTTCCTCCTTGAGACATCAAAACCTCTGGAGAAATGTAATCAGGAGTCCCGACAGCAGTGTCACAGCGGACCATACCGGACTAAACACAAATACAGATGCATATACACAAATATAACTATTATATACACTGGTTAAACCAATGTTGCTATGTTGTCTGTGCATATTAAGCTGTGAAAAATACCCCCTTTTAAATCCATTGGCAGGTTATCATAATTCACGCTGCACTACATGATCTAACCAGAAGATGGCAGCACTGACATAATTATTACCATAGCATGGGGGATTTCTGCAGTCTAAATGCAAAACTTATGGTTTCAACTAGGTTTCTTGTCTTAAAATTGTCAGTACACTATGATTTGTGACAAACTAATTGCAATCTTGCATACCATACAATTTGAAACGTAGACTCTTTCTACACTCAGTTACACAAACACACACACACATCAAAAGAACCTATCACACAACCCTAAACACACCGAGTCCATCTTCATGCATGTTCCAAAGTCAGCGAGTTTCAGGTGTCCGTTGTGGTCGAGCAGCATGTTGTCTGGTTTGATGTCTCTGTGAATGAAGCCCAGAGAATGGATGGCGTCCAGTGCCAGCACCACTTCTGCCGTGTAGAATCGAGCCCACTCTTCTGGGATGTCATAGTTGCTGGTCAGAGTCACCAGGTCTCCCCCGGGCATGAACTCCATCACCAAATAAAGGTACTTCTCATCTTGGAACGCACAGCACAGCTATGTGGACAGAGAGAGAGAGTGAGGTGAACAGGTGTCACAATGCCAACATTTTAGCAGTCGATAGCAATACAGTGTAATTTCACAACACTTGATTCCAATTGCAACACCACAGTTATATTAAATATGCTATTGAACATTGAACAGCTGAACAACTATTGTTTATTTGAATAACATTTTAATTATGCAATAATATATTCTTATATTCCATATTTTTAATAATATTCATTACATTTAAATTATTATACTTATTAAAATAAATATTCTAAACATAAAATTTAAAAAAAACAAAAAAACAAAAGGGACGTGTAGTATTCAAGTATTTTTCCAATTAATTCTTAATCAGGTTTTTCAAAGTAATTATTAATTATTATTTAAGATAACTGTCCATTATAATGACCACATTTTGTTATCAACAAATCAACATTACAGCAGCAATTATGTTAGGCTTCAAGGTCTAATGAGCATATCTGACATTTCTTGTCTTGCCTATTTACATTAGGACATAACTGACTGTCTTTACAACATGTGCAGGTGCATCCTGTGAGGTGCAAGCATTCAAACACAGCCGCCTGTCAGTCAGACAGATAGCACTCAGTTTGCATTTTTTTCAAAGTACTGGTAATTTTGACATCCCTAGAGGTACCACAAATGCATATCTATATATGAAAGGGAATCCCACCTGAACTATCCAAGGACTCTTGGAGAATGCCATGATGTCACGCTCCTCCCAGAAGAAGGCGGAGTCAGAGCGCTTGACCATCTCAAACTTGCTGAGCTGCTTCATGGCATACACTTGTTGGGATGCTTTGTGTCGTACCTACATGCACATATGTGCATTAACATCATAAATATCCACATAAACCCTTAATGAAACTACACACATTCTGCAATATGTTATTTAATGCAAACAAGTGTTTAATGTATCTATAACTGACTGTATAAGCAACACATGATGCTCTACCATAGTTAATTATTTATAAAGACTGACTTAAATATTTTGGAGTGACAAGAGTGAAACTAAAAGAACAAGACGATATGTGCCTATAACAAGGACAAAAGCATGCACACTCTGTGTTGTTGCAGGTAAGTAGGAGCAGGCAGAACATGTGCGTACAAGCCTCACTGGCATTAACTCTCACATAAACACACACCCACACATTCACACACTCTCTGGCACACACTCACTCACCAGCTGCACTGCGCCAAACGCTCCACGACCAATCAGCTTGACTCTGTCAAAATCATCCAGCTTCACCTGTAGTTCCCTGAGGCGACTCACGGCCTTTTCATCTAGAGAGATTATACCATGCATATTATTACATGAATACATGTTATAATTTAATAATTAACAAACACATTTACATTATGCAAGGTTTAAAAAATTAATCAGGGCACAAAAATGACCCAGTTATTTAATTAACATTTTTTATGTAACTATTAAAAAAAAAAAATTATACGTACATACTGTATATATATGTATATATAGTGAATCGTGTTAGGTATTGCCAATATACTAAAATAATGGCGTACTTGCTGAATTACTGTTTTTGCACAATATTTAGTAATTTTACACAATATTTACTCAAAGTAACTAAATGTTGGACTGTAAAGTGTCTATTACATGTTGACAAGGCTGACAGTAGGATTTAGATGCGTATTGATATACAGGTGCATCTCAATAAATTAGAATGTTGTGGAAAAGTTCATTTATTTCAGTAATTCAAATCAAATTGTGAAACTCGTGTATTAAATAAATTTAATGCACACAGACTGAAGTAGTTTAAGTCTTTGGTTCTTTTAATTGTGATGATTTTGGCTCACATTTAACAAAAACCCACCAATTCACTATCTCAACAAATTAGAATACTTCACAAGACCAATAAAAAAAAAACATTTTTAGTGAATTGTTGGCCTTCTGGAAAGTATGTTCATTTACTGTACATGTACTCAATACTTGGTAGGGGCTCCTTTTGCTTTAATTACTCCCTCAATTCGGCGTGGCATGGAGATGATCAGTTTGTGGCACTGCTGAGGTGGTATGGAAGCCCAGGTTTCTTTGACAGTGGCCTTCAGCTCATCTGCATTTTTTGGTCTCTTGTTTCTCATTTTCATATTGCTATGACAATATAGCAATGTACAGTATGATCTTTTATCATTTTATATTCCAGAAAAAAAAGTAAGCAATAAGTTACTGAGATAAAGTTCAATAATTACTAACAATATTAATTAATAAAGCTTAATTCAGCAAAAACACATACACACACACAATAAATGTAATAATCTTTGCACTTCCTAAGAGACTTACATCTGTTTAAGAAGGAATCTATATTTTTGTTCTTTCTCAGTGCGGGATGATTCAGATCAAGGGCCAGAGCAGTTACTGAATCCTGCAGAAGACAAGAGCAAAAAGAATTAAAAAAAACACTTAAAAATATACTTCTTATAATCTCAAATACACAGCGATTTCTACAATTGGCTTTTCTCTTTATTCACACAGCCAAAAATGACTTCAGAGAAACTTCATTACTCTCCTCTAATCCCAGATCTAAGCCCACTCTGACAGACAGTCCTGTTGTGTCATTTAACTTTGGATATAAACCGAAAGAAGAGATTTAGGAGTGGGATTAGGCCTGCATGGTCCCCTTACATTGAGAATTAAGTAACTGTATTTTTATAAATGACTTTAGGAAATTAATGATATGAATGACACTGGATGATCCTGGAAATTACCTCACACACCCCTCCAAACACACACAGTGACACTGCAAAGCTAAAAATACATAGAAGACACACATAGCACACACACTTACCCCCACCCCCAACATTCCCAGCCCAAACACTTCCATTTGGCTGAGCCAACATCATAAACTAGCTGGCCCAACATAAAAGGTTAATAACAGTGTTTTGCTGCAGCTGGAACAAGAAAAACATCTAATCCAACGCTCCACAGTTAGGACAGTTGAAGAGCACAGTGCTAACGTGACAGAGTTTCAACCCAGTTGATAAAAACTGTCACTTGCCCTTATCTGGCCATATATGTAATATTTTTTTATAAATTAATTACATTTTATTCAGCTAGGAGGACACATTAAATTTATCAAAATTGACAGTAAAGACACTTAATGTGACAAACTTCAAATATATGCTGTGCTTTTGAACTTTCTATTTATCACAGAATCCTGAAAAAAAATCATGGTTTCCAAAAAGATATTAGGCTGCAGAACTGTTTTCCACATTGATAATAATAAAAATGTTTTGTGAGCAGCAAATCAGCATTAGAATGATTTCTGAAGGATCATGTGACACTGAAGACTGGAGTAATGGCTGCTGAAAATTCAGCCATCACAGGTATAAATTACAATTTGAAATCTATTTAAATAGACAACAGTTATTTTAAATTGTAATAATATTTCACAACATTACAATTTTTTCCTGTATTTTTTATTAAATAAATGCAGCTTTGGTGAACGGACTTTAAAAAAATATGTTATATACCTTCAAAACTTTTAAGTTTGCAAGATGTGTTATGTGAATTCTGTTTCCTTAACACAAATAGGCACTCGCATACAAGCCAAAACGCATAATTAAACAATCAACAATGACAGAATCCTGTTTTCATTGCACCAGGAGTCTGCCCACAATACAACGTTTTAAAAACTCAAAGGAAGCTGGAGCCAGCTATCTCTCTCCTCAATTGAAGGATGTGACCTCAGCTTCCTGTATGACATTTCCCCTGGTAGCAATGCAGCAGGATACAATGAGTCTGCATCCAATATTATAAATTAAAGATCATTAGTCAAGAGACTCATTATAAAAAATGCCCATAGTTTAGTTGCATCACAAAATATCACAATAAACACCACACTAATATGACTTGAGTATCAGAACGGGGTTGTGATGTCAATATCATGAACTAAAATGGAGCTCTGTCTGACAAGTATGACTTGGAAGAGCATGGGAATGAAGACTGGATTTAATCCTCTGGATAAAAGAGGAATGAAATGCAACTCAACATAGGCTGTGTATATTTTCAACTCTGTTACTGAGAGTTGACTTAGCATGCATGGCTAAGCAGCTGAGGTAGTGAGCGGATGTTTCAAAGTAAACGTGCTGTGGAATGAACCAGCAGGGATTTAGTTAGGTCTTTCCCTGGGCCTCCCATACCCAGAGCATGACACACACCAAAAATACATCAACCAATACCTCCAGCGTTTGTTCATAGATAGCTATCATTTTCCATCAATGGAACAGTTCAGCATGCAACACTATTATCTAATTTTCCAACAGTTATAAAAGGGTTTGTGCTGAATTATTTATTGTAAAATATGTTTATTAATAATTTTAATTAAAGCTGCACTCAAACTGGCTGATACCACAGTTGTCTTGGACTTTTACTGTGGATGTAGTATTTGCCCAAAAAATTTATCCATGTACCAATGACATTGCAGAAATGCGCTACTGGCGGTCAGTATTCTTGATTAATTTATTTTATGAGATAAAGCGCACAATAATAGGGGCCTTATTAAGACAAAATGAGAAGTATTCAGCTGATCATGTGATCTTAAAATGGCCGCCCCCTGAGGCGACCTACTCCATGTAAAATAAAACCCGCTTTTTTAGACTATGTAAAAGGCACATCTTTGTATCTACAGAAAAATACTACCATTTGTTGCTTTAGGTGTAAAATTGTATTAATGAGGAACAAATCCTGAGCACACGGAAGAGCTACTATATAAAGGAACAAGTCATTGTGTGAACTGTCACCATTGTGCCCTTGAGCAAGTCACTTAAGTCCAGAAACATTCTTGTAAGTGTATTGTAAGATGCTTTAGATAAAAGAATATGGGAAATGACTAATAATACCATAGGCAGACAGTTGAGGCTTATTGAACAGTAAAGAAGCAGCCAGAGAAAGTAGGGTGTGTCAACTTTCAGTCTTGCTCAAAAATGCAGTTCTTGTCTGGAATGAGGGTTTTTTTTTTCTGCTGAGGAGAATGCTGTGTAAGGTAAGACATTTCGGTCTTTGATGGGAAGAGACAATAGGAGCACACATTCTAGACATTCCCCCCCTGTAAAGCTTGCTTGACAAGTCCTCACATTTCACCTTAACCCAGTCATTGAATAAGCATGTATGGTATCTTAACATTTCGTAAAGCTATCATTCTTGCCTTCTAATGATCTGTGCTTCATGTAAAATAAGTGAAGCCTGGTGCTTTAGGCCTGGACAATAACAAAGTGCTGCATTTGGGGAAAATATTACCATCAAAAGACAGCGATATTACTGTGGAGGAGGGTGTGTTGATAACACACCGATCAGAGATAAGACACAGGAACAATACCACAATCCTCTGGGACAAACGTCCACTCATTTGTTTACACCCTCAACATATAATTGATTTTTGTTTTGTGTTGTACAACTTATATGCGTAGGAAGAGCTTTCTGGTATTTTCATTATTTTGCTGGGTGGTCTTAATATAATAGAATACATTATATTAACATTAATATTACAACATAAACAAACACAAAATACAAGCAACCTTTCATAAAAGGAAGGGAAGTCGTGGCCTAATGGTTAGAGAGTCGGACTCATAACCCAAAAGGTTGTGGGTTTGAGTCTCGTACCGGCAGGGATTTTAGGTGGGGGGAGTGAATGTACAGCACTCTCTCCCACCTTCAATACCACGACTGAGGTGCCCTTGAGCAAGGCACCGAACCCCCAACTGCTCCCCGGGTGCCGCAGCATAAATGGCTGCCCACTGCTCCGGGTGTGTGTTCACTGCTGTGTGTGTGCACTTTGGATGGGTAAATGCAGAGCACTAATTCCAAGTATGGGTCACCATACTTGGCCACATGTCACTTCACTTCACATAAACATAATTTTCTATTATGCATGATATTGTGGTATTTATTCTAAAAAATAAAAAAAGTAATTTACATGCTCCACATCTTTTCAAAAAATTCATGTACACGTGTAATAATCATATTTGGAATGAACATGCATGTTTTTTTCCCCCTTGGATTGCTACTGGAGATGCAAGCTCTTGCTATTACTGTACACTTTAGTCATTTTTAAACAGTAATTTAAACAACTCATTCATTTTGACAAAATAAATGTCAGGACTGAGTCACGAGACAAATGTTGGTCAATATGTGTCTAATAATGTTACATTTTAGAGAAAAAATAACTGTTTCCTTGAGATTTTAATGAATATTGAGTTCATGATCCAAACTTCTGACTAAACAAAACCTCCCAGACATGTATTTTAGTTAGAAGGTCTAATTCAAGACAACAAACACGTTTCCTTTTGTATAGCATCCCATTACCCCATAACCTTACCAGCAAACTCTCCAAATTCAGCAGTGATCGTTGGTCCTTGATGAGTGACTCCAGTATTCCCACCCGCTTTTCTAGTCTCTTTCCTGCTCCGGTCGACATTGCGGCAGCTCGGTATTGTGAAGATCCCGGTAGACATCAGATTGAGAGCCGCGATTGTGAGACTTCAAACGTCTGAATCAAACTTGTCACTACCTGTCGTAACTCAACGCGACGCCTCTTGAAGCTCACCGGTTCTGGATGAATTAATTCTTTAGCCAAAGACTTTATACACGGCATAAATGAACGGAATACAGTAGTTTTGTGTCTTGTCCTCCTGTGTAAATGACAGCGGCGTTCAGCGCGCTTGTGCCAGCAGCATAAAATCAAAGGTTAGACCCACGCGTTCAGGAAGCCGAGTGTCTCTCCCGCTCCGGTTCAACAAAAATTACGGGAAAACCCTTCCGTGTACGATCTATGTTGAAAAACACACTCTCGTTCTTCCTCACTGTTATTTTTGGGTACACGAAGCAGATTATGAGTATGAGTACATGTATGTGAATGTGAACGCAGTGTTTCTTTGTTGCAGTGTGTCCCTCCCCTGCGACCTGCGACCACTGAATTCTTCGGATCTTATCTCAGCCATCGCTTTTACCAGCCAAACGTCACTCTCTAAATACGATCCCATATACTAGCCTACACTAGATATATTTAGACGATTACATGTATTTATGATGGCACGAAAAAGCTTATTATAGACGACTTCTTTCATGTAAATGTTCTGTGGTGTAATTCAGCACTGAAATTCTGTGTTCTGATGATTACAATTATGACAAATATCTCTGCAGTGAGCACCGTGACTAATAGATTAATAGCAGGCTATTGTAATCATTTTGATGTGTTAACTATTAAGGGGCAACATAACATTTGCCCTATTTCGTTTTTAGAGGCATATTATATAACAATATAATATAAAAAAGCATGTCATGTACCAGCCCATGACACCTTTGCACCTTGAGTGCACACACACAGGTTTGTTTTTATGGTTTATGGGGACTCTCCATAGGCGTAATGGTTTTTATACTGTACAAACCGTATTTTCTATTGCCCTACAGCAACCCTACCCCTAAACCTACCCCTCACAGGAAACTTTCTGCAGTTTTAGATTTTCAAAAAAAACTCATTCTGAATTATTTATAAGCCTTTTGCATTACGGGGACACTGAAAATGTCCTCATAAATCACCTTCTCGTTGTAATACCTATGTCATACCCATGTTATTATACAAATCTATGTCCTCATAAACCACATAAACATGCACACACACACACACACATATATGCAGCAATAAATTAATACATTTTTCTTCAAATCTTCAGTGTTTTGTCCATTTTTGTGTATGACATCAAAACCCATGTGGGGCCCACATTGAAGTGTTGGCTAATATTTCATTAACTTATTACTCTGTATTACTTGATGCTCTCTATGAGGACTGGACACAGACATTAAATAGTGTGTCAATGGAAAACAGCTGACACGGGTTGTAATTTATGAGGCCGTCTGACTCTGCAAAAGATCATAGACTAGACACATGACCTCTCTTATCAGCTTTTGACTAAAGGCTACTGATTAAAAAAAACACACAGCACAGATTGAAGACACTCAGGGACAGAAATGTAACATTCCTTTTTTTGTCATGCAGGTAACCTAAATATGCTGAATATGACTGAGTAGATAGTCGTCAGACAATGCCCACCTCTTGCACAGCTTTATGTTAGGAATGAGGAAGCAGTTTGTTATGTCTCAGAAAAGTGTCCCCAGGGTTTAGCTTGTTTAATTAATTTATATGGACTAAACTAGAGAGAACTGCCATAATCCCGCATTAAATGACCTTAAAAACAGCTAAATAATTTTTTTACTGCTCCTACAATGATCTGCACAAGTATTTAATAGTTTGTGGCATATTGAGACATATCCAACTCAAATAATGAATAATGATAATAATAATAATTTAAAAAATCTTTTACTTTGTGTCCCTATGTGACGCAGAGTTAAAATCCAGCGCGTGTGTAGTTTTTAAATAAATAAATAAATAAATACATTGCCAGTTGGGAACGCTTAACACTGACCTCTGGTGGACTTATTGAATGAGTTCATTTTTAAGCAGATATGAAAACGCCCCTGGACACTGTCTTGTTAAAAATATTTTAATATAGGGGATCATATAATTCTGGGACACATTTTACAGCTTATGCTGGCCCACATCAACAAAATATAAAGCTCGTCAAACCTTGCTTTCTCTCTATCCTGTCAGTTGTGTTGTGGGCGGGTTGCCATGACACCGTTCAACAAATGAAGAGCGGATAGAGATGGAGGCTATAGTCTGTTGCTGCAGTCACTATTAAAGTGAGTAAAATCAATAAGCTAAGAGAGTATTATGTTTAATTGACGCATCGAAGTATATATGATTACAGAAGAACGGAAAATAAAAAATAGTTCACTTGATATTGCGCGCGATACTCAAAACTCTTATAAAATGTTAATGTCAGTTGATAATTACCGATGATCTGATATTGAACTTTAAAGTTTGACTTCTTGATTAATTGAAATAGATTAACATCTCTGTATTTTTGCTTTACAGTATCATACAATGTCATCCACTGTCCCTAAAGCGTCTAACTTATCATTAGTGGATAAACTTATCGAGGATGAAGCAGAGAGAGAGATTCTGCTCTCCAAACCTACATGTTTTATCATCCTTGGAAAACCAGTGAGTTTTCAACATGCATCTTTTTTTTTTCTCTCAACATAAAAGTAGGGCTGAATTCAGGTTGATTGGGACACCTTTCCCCAGGCATTTCAATGGCAAAATGTGTCCCAATCAACCTGAATTCACCTCAAAATTCCTCAGTCAAAACAAATAAACAGTTTTTTTTTTTAATGTTTTGTGTGATTTTTTTTCAGGGTGTTGGGAAATCTACTCTTGCAAGAAAATTAGCCAAGACTTGGAATTGCATCCTCATTGATGGTAAATGATCAAGTGCCTTTGATGTCACATTGCCATTATTACATATGGAGTTTCTGAATATTTCATTTTCACCCTATTTAGATACAGATCTTCTCAACAGCCACATCAGTGATGAGACAGAACAAGGTATACAGGTGTGTATCACTGATGTTTAGTTATTTACATGGTCACAATAGAAATAACTGATTCCCTGCAAAATATTCTAGCTGTTTCATATAAGATATTCTGCTATAGCTCTTTAAGATTCTGGCTGAAGGAAAAGCTGTTCCAGAAGAGATGATGGTCAAGTTAATTGTTAACCGGCTCAAGTCACCTGATGTAGAGCATTATGGTAAAGGTGTATGACACAACTGAAATAACATAACTGAATAAAAATGACTAGTTAACCAAATAAACAAACATGTAAACCTTTCATTCTTGATATATATATATATATATATATTTATTTATATTTGTAATGACTTGTCTGAATGAGCAGGTTATGTTCTGGCCTGTTTGCCATCAATGTCAGAAGAATACCTGAAGATACAGGAACAAATAGACTTGATTAAAAGCCTCAGAATGCCACCAGACTTCATCATCAACATCAAGGTTTTTCATAACCTTAATACTACCTATACTCCACAGAATTTTACGATGCTGACATTGTGTTATCCACTTCACACTTTGTAAGGATAATAAATAAGTGTGTTTATGTGTCCAGTGTGCAGACAGGGACCTGATCCGCAGGCTATCAGATGAGCGTCAACATCCAGAGACAGGCCGTGTGTTCCAGAGGGAGAAGTGGGACCCTGATGTGAAGAAAGAGTCACTCATGAAAAGCAACAACACAGAGAATGAGGAGGAGGAAGAGGAAGAGGAAGAAACAGAAGATCTGGAGGAAGAGGTAATACAACCAGCTTCCAGGTTTCTTAACCAGCTTGACTGTCATAGAAAATAATTCTTCTGATAATTCTGCTTGTTTTCAAAATGTTTAACAACAAAAACTGTTAGATATATTAACTTTACCAACCACAGTTAATGTTGTGATTCCATTCCACGCTCTGCAATTCATTAATATTAAATATAAAAATAAAAGAAATATCATCACTGCAGTTTTATTGTTTAGTTTTTTACTAATGTCAAGTTATTATGTGGTCCCATCTGAAGTTTGAGAAGGCCCCTAAGTGGGTCCTGGCCCCCTAAATGAGAACCAGTGTATTACTGCAATGATTTATTTGCCAGACACTGTACCAAACCACTGTATAAACTATTTACAGTAAGTTTGCAACAAAAGTTAAGTTTCATAAATTTCATTTCAGAACTGCCAAATATTGAAGTTCTGTGCACAAATGACTAAATGCAATTGAAAATCTGTTTAAGATGGAAGAGTTAGAGCTTCAGAAAGACATGATCACACAGCTTGTAAGAGTGAGTGAAAATTACCCAGAGAACACCAACAGCAGGATCATGTGCTATAAGGACACCATCCTCAGGCCTCTTGAGGTAATGGCATCTATAGTATTGCACACTTACAAACTGTAAACACTATTATAGAAACAATCAGCATTACGCTTATGTTGGATGTGTAGGATTACATGGCAGACCACAATCCTCCATTTTTGTTTGAGCTGGATGGAAACAAGGATCCAGAGGATCTCTTTGAGGTGGGTGAACTCGGTCAAGCTGTAATGACTAAGGATGGAAACTATAACATTTCAGTAACTGTTCTAATTCTATGAGAATAATTTAGTCCATATCACAACTATAATGATAAAGGCATAGGGGAACTATATTGTTGGAATGAAAAATCTGAAAAGTTGTTGCAAACCTCCTGCTTTTTCATGGTTAGAACATTTGTTGTCTTTTCTATATACTGAAAAAAATTACGTTTGTTTTAAGAGGACACATTTGATAAAAACTGGGGTCCTCTACTTGACTTTGTCAAAAATACACCACTTATATTTACTGATTTGTAATATGTATTTTTAATTGTTTAATTGTTAATTTAATTTTAATTGTTCTGTGTAGTCTCTTGTAAATTTTTTCTGTTATATTTAATTCTGTATAATTGTCAATTTTTTTGTAATTTTATTTATTTTTTGAAAATGTACTTAAGTTTTATTGTGCGGCTCCTTCCCATCTTGATATACACACACCTAAATTTTTGTATGTTATATCTAAGCAATATTCCTAGACGAACCATAGCTGGTTGATGAGGGACGTAACATCCTCCTTTGGGGTGGGTGGGGTTTGGGTTTACTGAGGGTTGTGACTGTTTATGTTTGTGTCCACCCTTAGTAGTTGTTAATAGAAAATAGGAATGTATAGATTTATTAATATTGCTCTTTCATTGTATTTTGTATATTCCAATAAAAAATATTTTAAAAAGTTGTTGCAAACCTGCATGAATTTCTTTCTTCTGTTGAATAATAATGTTGATGGAGACGGTGGTGACCAGCAACTGTTTGGTTACCCACATTATTAAAAATATCTTCTTTTGTGTACAAAAGCAAAAAGAAATTCATACAGGCTTGGAACAACTTGGGGGTGAGTAAATGATGACAATTTTCATTTTTGGCTGAACTGTCGCTTT